TCTCATGGACTTGTTTTCATTTTCTTCAGCTTCAGCCTGAATTTGCATATGCCCCCTGGCCTTATTTTGACGGATGCATGGAGCTTTTCTACTGTCTCTTCCTACAGAGGTAGTCAATTTGATTTCTGTGTATTTCATCTGGTGAGGCCCATGTGTATAGTCATTTTTGTTGTTTTTAAAAGGTATTTGCAAATAATAAGTCATTGGTCTTGCAAAAATTCTATCATGTGATCTCCAACATTGTTTCTATCACCAAGGCCATATTTTCCAACTACTGATCCTTTTTTGTTTTCATACCTTTGCATTCCAAACAACAGTAATTATCAATATATCTTGATTTCATGTTTGATCAGTTTCAGACTGAAGAAGATTGAATTCTTCAATTTCATCATCACTGGCTTTAGTGGTTGGTGCATAAATTTGAATAATATTGGTATTAACTGATTTTCCTTGTAAGCCTATGGATATTATCCTATCACAGGCAGCATTATAATTTAAGATAGATCCCGAAATGTTCTTTTTGATGATGAATGTGATAACATTTATCTTCAGTTTGTCATTACTGGCATAGTAAACCATGTTTGTCAGATTTAAAATGGCCAATACCAGTTTACTTCAGTTCACTAATTCCTAGGTTATCAATTTTTATGCATTCTATTTTATTTCTGACAACCTCCAATTTTCCTAGATTTATACTTCTTACATTGCATTTTCTGATTATTAATGAATCTTTATAATTGTTTCTCCTCATTCTGAGTTGTGCTCCATCAGCAAATGAAGGTCCCAAAAGCTTACTTTATTCACGTCACCACTTTGCGAGCTAGCTGTTCCCCAGTTGTGCCTTCCAATCTTAGGGGCTCATCTTCCAGCTCCATATCTCACAATGATCCGCTGCTATTCAGCGTCTTTCAATATTCAATATTCTGGTACTATCAGACTGTGTCCCTCTGCTAGTCATAAGATTTTCAGGAGGTAAGCATTCAGAAGTAGTCTACTTCTCCTTCTTCTTATTCTGTCTTAGTCTGGAAGCTCGGTTATAACCTGTTCACCATGGGTGTACCCTGCTGGTACTTAAAGTACCAGTGATATAGCTTCCAGCATCACAGCAACATGCAAGCCACCACAGTAGGACACACTGACAGACAGAGTGGTGTATGTATTTATAGAGGACAAAGTTGTTTTTAAAATCAACTATAAGAGATCAAAAGGGTAGCATTTGCCTAGGGATAAAGCTCAGAAAGCAGCAAGGTATATGATGGTAGGAGAAATGGAAACAGTAAACACAAGAAGAAGGTCTCACATTGTGGAGATTTCAACTGAGGGAGAGCATTCCAAAACCTAAAACAATTGACAGGGGCTTCTGACTGGGGCATAAGCCAAATTCTACAGTAAGCCAAAATTCCTTTTTTTTTTCTCTCCACTCTGATACCACTTTTGCTTCATTTGTGAAAAGATTGGAAATTTTATAAAACATTATGCATATTGTTAATGCTTTTGTTGTTTTGGTTAAGTGCTGTTGAGTCGATTCCAACTCATAGTGACCCTGTATATGGTTTCCAATGAGCAACTGGTAGGTTCAAACTGCCGATCTGGTGGTTCAAACCAACCTTGCAGTCCAGTACGTTATCCTACACCACCAACCAGGACAGGTACTGTCAAGTTGGTTCCATGCAAACCACTGTTGTTATTGTTAAGTGCTGTTGAGTCCTGTCCAACTCATAGTAACTCTGTGTAGTGTATATGAAGAGCAGCTGGTGGGTTTGAACTTCTGACCTTGGGATTCAGATCAACCAGATTAGAACAGGGTAATATTGATGTGGCACTGCAGGTTAATGTGCTGGACTGCAAGGTCAGTTTGAACCACAATGTTGGCAGTTCAAGCTTAACAGCCACTCCATGGAAACCCTGTAGAGGACTGCTATGCATTGGAACCAGTTTGATAGCACATAACAACAACAACAACAACAAATGGTGGAGAATGTGGTTTTGTCAGGTTCCTGGTATGTATAAGTGATAAGGATGGGACTTTACTGGATTACCGATTCTCAGAAAATACCTCTTCAAAATAAAAAAAATTTTTGATCCTTACAAAGCCCTGTACTTTTCCATAACTTCGTTCTAACCCTCTTCTAAACTCTGTAATGTCCATCAGTTACAAACATTTTAGCTGTCTCCTTCTGTTTCTCTTTATAAGAGAACAGGCCTTAGGAGAAACATTGTTGCCATGGTTGCTTGCCTTTGTGTTTTCCTTTTTTGCAAAATTTCTTTCTGCCATTCATAAAACTCATTGTTTTCACTTGAAATACACCTGTAGTAGTTCCCCCCCCCCCGCCACTATGACACAGAGTCAATGTCACAAAACAAAATGTGTATGAATTATTTTGTGGAAAACCAATTTGCTCTGTAAATTTTCACCCAAAGCACAATAAAAAGTTAAAAACAACAGCAAAAACAACAAAAATCAAAGTGAACTGACTTCATCAGGCAGATTTGAAAGCAAACCGAAAGTAAAGAGACAAAAAGGCTCAGGGAGAACTGCAGTGTGAAGAGGGCATAGGACTTTGGCTTGGGAATACTTGCCTAATTATGATCCCTGGGGAGCCTGGTAAACAAATCAAGCACAAAAAGCTTGTATAGCATTGATTTTTCTGGGTCCATGGTCTTCTGGGGTCGCAACTAGCAAATCACTCCCAGCCTCAAGTTGGGTATCAAACTGTTGTGAAAACAAAAACAAAACCTTAAACACTGTTTGAAGGTAAAATAGAAAGGTTTATTAAGGACTTAAAGAAAGATTTGAATCAGGAACTTCATAGTCCATTGAAATGAAACCACAGAGTCTGAGGCACAATATTACACAGACATTTATGTAGGGTTTAGACAAAGAACACAAACCAAACCAAACCCACTGCCTTCTAGTGCACTATGACTCATTGTAACCATATGGAGCAAAATCAAACTGCAGCTTCTGGTTCCTCTCTGACAGAGCTAGTGGATTTGAGCAGCTGACCTTGTGGTTAGTAACACAATGTTTAACCTACTGTGCCACCAGGACTCATAAGACAAAGAACAGAGCTTACAATATTTGAAAATCAGAAGTGAGCTTTCTCACAGTGGAGCTGTCAGTGATAGGACTAAAGAATATACATGCTGACACCTGGATCAGCAGACCAGTGACAGGACAATGTCAGGACAGGGTTTGTTCCAAAATCAGATAGGAAACAAGTTTCCTAGGTATTCATTAACCTAGCTTAAGACAGATTTCCTAAGACTGTGTAGTGCAGGCATTTCTTCAGTTTATTACATATCAATAAATCTGCATTGTTTTAACATGGTAAGATATGTTGAAAATAACTTGATTACAACAATAGACAAGGGAGCTTCATCAAAATTCATAGAATAATTGAATGAAAAGATAATGGAATTTTCCTATGAACTTTTTGAAGCCCCTTCTATTTTCTAAGAACAGCCTGTATAATCATTATTGTCTTGGTCCCCTATGGGAACAAAATATAACATCTTTCATCTATATGACCATAGAAAAAAAAATATTTCCTTAGCAGAAGTAGGAATGGAGTCTAGTCTCAGGTCATAATTTAGCCATTCTACTTTTGTCAAGTGCCAATTTTAAATGCTCTTGATTGTCTTCTGGGTGTTTGGCACTGTGATGTTTGATGGGGAAGGGGAAATGGAGGAAACAGAGCTTGGAGAGATAAATTCATAGAAATAAAAAAGATAAATGAAAATAGAATAACATTGTAGCCTGGGTAAAGAGACTAGGGAAGGTTTAGAATCACATTGTGTCAACGTTGGAAGACTTCATTGGTTTAATTCCCATATGCCGTGATTCTGAGTTGTAGGGTTTGAATAAGCAGAGAGTAGGAGGTGGGGAGGAGGAAGGATAAAAAGAGGAAGAATAAGGCTGGGGTTACCAGGCAAATTGTGGGCTGATTCCTCTGCCACCAGTGATCATTGTTACTGAGAGGCTTCTTTTCCAGTCTCCCTTCCCCCTTTATTTTCAGCTGAGTTTGTTGTTTAAGGCTGTGACCTACATGTGCGCCAGGCAGCCTTCCAGAGTAGTTACACAATCTCCTCTAAATCCTCTCCTGCCAGTCCTTCACTCAGGCACTGCTCCCTCAGGATCAAATTCCCTGCCTGGGGCCCTCTCTTCCTTTAAACCCACCCACTGCTTCCTCCTTCAGAAACCCACTATTTTCTAGGGAATAAAGTACCCTTCAGAGTTCTGTTTTGTTTTGTTTGGATTCATGTGAACAGTTTAATGTGAATATTTAATCAAAGCATTAAATACAACAAAGACCCCAGAGATCCAAGTCTTTTAGACCTTGAATACAAACGTGTTTCCTTTGGTTTTGATGTTTGCTGTAGGTTTCTGAAACTAGTCCTGCAGAAAACCCGAAAAATACAGTCTCCTCTAGATCCAGTGTTCATGACAAATGTGGAAAACTGAGTCACTTAAAATGTTCCGAAAATAAACCTCTGAAAGCATATTGCTTATGGTGTCACAATTCAGCCCTGGGGAGGACGGAGGTGCTGGCGATGAGATCTGGCTAGGCTAGCGTCCCCCTTCTACTCCCTCCTCCCCCGACCCTGCCGGGTGCAGAGCGCAGCCGCCAAACCAAGCAGCTACAGCCCCCGCCTCCCGTTCCAGTCTCTCACAAAGTGCTGGTGCCGCTGTGGTGAGTGATAGCTTGTCGCCGGGTTTTGGAACACAGCAGTCTCCAGGAGGTGAACAGAGGATGCTAGAGCCACACATAGAGGCCAGATCTGCATAAGAGTGACACAAAGGAGCTACAGGGCCGCTGCCACGGGAAAAAGACCTTGTGTGACTCGGGCCTACGCTAGCGTGTGGCGGTCTCAGGAGGCTTCCGGAAACTACAAGGACTTATCCGGACTATACAGCCCAGGGCTCTCAACTGGCAGTCTTCCCTTAGCGAGGGTGAAGCTACATTTGGTCCTTGTTTCTTAGGGACTGAGGCCTCCGAGGCACCAGGGCTGTTTCTCTGAGGGGATTGGAAACACAGCACAATGAGGAGTAGAAGTAACTCAGGGGTCCGACTGGACGGCTATGCAAGGCTGGTTCATCAGACCATCCTATGCCACCAGGTACGTGTAGGAAAATAAACTGTAATTACTGAGGATTTGGAGTGAGATAGCCTGAATGGTAGAACCCGGCGAAACAGCGAGCATATGTCTGTGGTGGGTTCTCCTGGCCCCTAAGCCAAAAAACCCATAGAAGGCCAGGAGCCCCTGAGTCAAGGCTTCTGAGACCCTTCCCCACAACCCACAGCTAGGTTCCTGGGATAGAGTTGGAAGACCTGTTGGAAGTCTCCTTCTCACCCGCTCACCATCACCCTTGGTTTGGGTTGTTATTTCTTTCCTCTGAGACCAGAGAAAAGAGGGAGAGAAACATTTAGCTGGACTGTTGTGAAGGTTTGAGGCATCTTGTATATACTGTTAATTGTATTTTCTCTACTCCTTTACTTCTAGTTTTTGGTTGGTAATTCATGTTTTCTAACTGGAATGTTATAAAACTTCCTTTTAATAAAACAATCTATATTTCAGACTTGTAAGGCTTCAGCTAACTACCTCTTCCCTGTAGTCAAATATCATTTGCTTGAGTTTAATTAGAAGAGGAGGCAATAAAATTCAGAGGTGGGAAAGTAGAAGACCAAAGTCTCCCAAGTAATTCATGCTGTAGAATCTGGTTCCAAATATTAACATCCCGTGACTACCTACCTACTTTCTTATTCTTGGCCTTGCAGAATCCAGTGACTGGCTTGCTTCCAGCCAGCTATGATCAGAAAGACGCTTGGGTCCGGGATAATGTGTACAGCATCTTGGCTGTGTGGGGTTTGGGTCTGGCCTACCGGAAGAATGCAGACCGGGATGAGGATAAGGCAAAGGCCTATGAACTGGAACAGGTATTCAGAATAAAAATATGAAGAGATTTGGAGATGGGATGGGTTGGAGGGTGGGATAAGGGAAGGAGAACAGGGATAAAGGAAATGTAGCTCAAGGGAAGTAAGAGAACTGTATTTTGACATTGTTTGTCTTGCTTGTTGTTATTGCTAAGTGCCCTTGAGTCTGTTCTGAGTCATAGCGACCTTATGCAGAGTTACCAAGGAGCTTCTGGTGGGTTTGAACCACAAACCTTGTGGTTAGCAGTGCAGTGCTTATCTTACAGTGCCACAATCGTCTTGTTTTGTTGTTGTTGTTAATGGATCTGACTCATAGTGACTCTGTATAGGGTTTCCGATGAGCAACTGATGGGTTTGAAGCTCCAACCTTGCAGTCAAACACTGAAATTACATTCCAAAAAACTTTGCAGTATTGTGGTGAATTTTTTTGTTTTTGTTTTTGCAGTGGAAACTAGAAATTTGCTGATTCAGAGGGAGTGGGCACAGTCTGTTCAGTACAGTGAGAAATCCTATCCCTGGGATCTTTCCTGAAATTTAAATTCCTCTATTGGTGCTGTCACGTGATAATGATGAGGGTTTCTGCTCCTGCAAAGATTTAAAGCCTCGAAAACCCCATACAAGGTTGATATGAGTCAGAACCAACGGGGCTCCTAACCAAAAGTTTCAAACCCACTAGCTGCTCCTCGGAAACCCTATACTGGCTCATTTTGAGTTGGAACCAATTCAACAGCACTTGACAACAACTAAGTAAATGTATTTTGCAGTCTCTGGCAGTTTTATTCTTATTGAGAAGAATGTTTGGAAGTCATTATCACGTGACTTCATTTTTGAGAATGAATTATGATATTTCTATGATATTAATTGACACAAATCAGCAGACCTTCTCAACCAGATACAAGCAAAATTAATTTATTCATTGATTTTTATATCTATGGCCATTGTTTCAGGGTTTGTTGGTTTTTGAAGGGAGGAATGGTGGCAAAATAAAATCAGAATCAACAGGTACCTTTAAGCCAACAGCACTTCATCTCAGTAAAAAAAAAA